TGCAGTCACCCGGATCCAGTACGTATTCAGACCAGATGGTGGATCAGCACCTAGAGAGGACCTCTACAGCCCTGAAAGACAGCGGAGACCAGGACAACTAGATGAGCCCCAGATACAGATCCCCTGTAAAGACCTTGTCTCGGAGACCACCGGGACAAGACCACAGGAACCAGTTGAGTCCTCTGCACAATCTGACTTTGCTGCAGCCTGGAATTGAACTGCTGGTTTCGTCTGGTCAGAGGAGAACTGGCCCACCGACTGAGCCTGGTTTCTCCCAAGGTTTTTCCTCCATTTCTCTCAGCGATGGAGTTTTGGTTCCTCTGGCTTGCTTAGTTGGGGACGCTTGACTGATTGCACAGACACTACTGAAGATAGCTGAAGTGGATGATGGCATCACTGAATCACCAATGAACTGACTTTAGCTGGAAAATGACTCTATTATTGTCTTCTTGCATTATTGACAAACTATTTTCCTGTTTAACACTGTAAAGCTGCTTTGACACAACCAGTATTGTTTAAAGCGCTATACAAATAAAGGTGACTTTAACCATGCTATTTGTAATAAAACTGTAATTACAGAAATGGTAATCAATCAGCCAAAAAAAAAAAACTTGGCTACTACACTTTTACTATAGTAAACCATAGTAAATTCTCGTAAGGGAAACATATTGAAAAACATGATTCAGTCGTAGATGATCTTAAGCATGTTAACTTATTTGAAAAAATACGTTTAAAGAGTCCAATTAAAGTTATTTTAATGTTTAAAAATTAAGATACTGAATTACTGCATTTTAGTGCCATGTAACAAAATCATTTCAGATTAACGTTACCAGAATAAAGTCGTAGCATTGTGAGATGGAATTCATAATATGTTGAGAATAACGTCAAAAGTATCAAAATATTAACAAAGTTTAATACTTTCATCTCACCTACAGTTAGTTTAGAAGTACGGCTGAGACTTACCTCGACAAACCACCGAGCAGAAAGATTCATTTCGACTTTAAGGTTTTACTTGAAGAGTAAATAAAGAGCGCGATAGATATGAAATTATGAAACTCGATTATTGTTTTGTTTGCTAATTCAGACGCTAAACTTCGAATCTGATCACGATATTGATCTCAATATTAGTAACGTTACTCTGGTTACTGACATTAAAATTAAATCAACATAAGTCGTTGTCATAGTGTTTGTTTTGGAAAAGTCTCAAATCTCAGAAATTGTCCGTTACATGTCAGGCGCACTGCGCACGCGCGACTTCAGATTTACGCGCGCTGATCAAATATTTAAAAGAAACTGACATCAGTACATAATTTTTAAAAAACGATCTATAAAATTAAATCAGACACCCCCGTACAAAAAAAAAAAACCTTCATATTTCGGAATAAAACGTCTTATCACTGTGAGTAAGATCTGTCGTGATTACCTCAGTGATGATAAATCACATCAGCTCACTAAACCTCTACTTTAAACGACCATTACCAGACGCTATAGTCTTTTTAAATCAGTGCAGTGCGGCAGTGAATTGGTCCAAATGATTTTATTAAAAAATGTAATCTCAGGATAATGTAAACCAGTTTAAACACCATCTAAAAATCAGCGGTTCATCTGTAACACAAACTCGACTACATGTAAAACTCTGTTCTAGAGGATCCGTGACGAGCAGCGCTGAATATGACACGCGTGATCAGGTTTGTTCAGAGGCAGACAAGCAACATTTGTCCATTTTATACACACAAACGAGCTGTTTTCCTTTAGCGTCTCAGAGGAGCATGCAGGGAAACGAGTGTCAGTTCGAGTCCTCCAGGTTGCCGCTCTTTTGGTCAGAATTGTCGCACAGGCGGTCCATGATGCTTTGCAGGCTGGGCTGGACGATGCCCATCAGGGGTCTCTGGGAAGGGTCTCCGTTCCAGCAGGCCTCCATCAGCTGCCAGCACTCCTCGTCAAACGTGGGTAAACGCTCCGGCCGCGAGCCTGAACGCAGCAAACACACACGGAGTTTACCCAGAGTTCACAGCGCAACGTCAACGCGATCCGCCGACTGGGGTTCGTTACCTTTCTTGACGTTGGTCCACAGCTGGTCTTTACTGGAGCATTTCTCAAAGGCTTCTGGGAGTTTGACGGAGCCGGAGCAGAGATACCAGAAGAGGATCCCAAACGCGTACACGTCGACGGAGTTATCATACTTTCCTGCGCGAAAAAAACCCAAGCACACGTACAATCAGAAACTGTAACGTAAACCATAACTACAGTAAGGTTTTTCTAAATAAATAAAAAAATCTTTAAAAAAGTTCATATGTTGTCAATCATTTTCATGGACCAATATAAAAAAACTACCATGATAATGAACATTTTTTCATCATTTATAATAATTTCAAAAATTAGCACTTTATTGTCCAATATTAAAAATCGCATACTACTTTGTTACCATTACTTTAAATTTTTAAATCATTTAAAAATCATTTTATCATCTGATATTGAAATTGCATAGTACTTTGGCTAATTAAATTACCATAAAATTAAACATGTTTATAATATTAAAATTATTTAAAAATGAATAATTTTTATGACCTGATGTTAAAATTATAGCGAACAGTATGGATAATCATTTGGAGATCTGCTGAAGACTGTTAGATTAAAAAATTAAAGTGAGTGTTAGATGACAGAAAGGTAATCTAAACATATAAAACAGAAGAAATGAGCATGAAATATTATTTATATGATTATTATTATTATTTGCTATTTTAATTGTTTTTAATTGAATGAAAATGCTAATAGTTTGGCCAGTGTAAGGAATGGCGCAGAAAGCGACCAGTTAGTGACCTGTGAAGAGTTCTGGTGCCATGTGGATGGGCGTCCCCACGATACTGCCGGACATCATGGCCTCGGGTTTACAGAAGCCCAGGTCAGTGATCTTCGCCCGGTTCTGTTTGTCCAGCTACACAGAAGAACACAAACCCACATTATAGTGCGTGATGAAGGGATATGAAGTGTTATGAAGGTTTATGAAGCACTATGAAGCATTATGAAGGGCTATAAAGCATTATGAAACGTTATGAAGCACTATGAAGGGCTATAAAGTGTTATAAAGCATTATGAAGGGTTATGAAGGGCTATAAAGCATTATGAAGCATTACAAAGTGCTATGAAGGGTTATGAAGGGCTATAAAGCATTATGAAGCATTACAAAGTGCTATGAAGGGTTATGAAGGGCTATAAAGCATTATGAAGCATTACAAAGTGCTATGAAGGGTTATGAAGGGCTATAAAGCATTATGAAGCACTATGAAGGGTTATGAAGAGCTATAAAGCATATTGAAGCACTATGAAGCGTTATGAAGGGCTATAAAGCATTATGAAGCACTATGAAGGGTTACGAAAGGGCTATAAAGCATTATGAAGCACTATGAAGGGTTACGAAAGGGCTATAAAGCATTCACACGGAGTTTACCCAGAGTTCACAGCGCAACGTCAACGCGATCCGCCGACTGGGGTTCGTTACCTTTCTTGACGTTGGTCCACAGCTGGTCTTTACTGGAGCATTTCTCAAAGGCTTCTGGGAGTTTGACGGAGCCGGAGCAGAGATACCAGAAGAGGATCCCAAACGCGTACACGTCGACGGAGTTATCATACTTTCCTGCGCGAAAAAAACCCAAGCACACGTACAATCAGAAACTGTAACGTAAACCATAACTACAGTAAGGTTTTTCTAAATAAATAAAAAAATCTTTAAAAAAGTTCATATGTTGTCAATCATTTTCATGGACCAATATAAAAAAACTACCATGATAATGAACATTTTTTCATCATTTATAATAATTTCAAAAATTAGCACTTTATTGTCCAATATTAAAAATCGCATACTACTTTGTTACCATTACTTTAAATTTTTAAATCATTTAAAAATCATTTTATCATCTGATATTGAAATTGCATAGTACTTTGGCTAATTAAATTACCATAAAATTAAACATGTTTATAATATTAAAATTATTTAAAAATGAATAATTTTTATGACCTGATGTTAAAATTATAGCGAACAGTATGGATAATCATTTGGAGATCTGCTGAAGACTGTTAGATTAAAAAATTAAAGTGAGTGTTAGATGACAGAAAGGTAATCTAAACATATAAAACAGAAGAAATGAGCATGAAATATTATTTATATGATTATTATTATTATTTGCTATTTTAATTGTTTTTAATTGAATGAAAATGCTAATAGTTTGGCCAGTGTAAGGAATGGCGCAGAAAGCGACCAGTTAGTGACCTGTGAAGAGTTCTGGTGCCATGTGGATGGGCGTCCCCACGATACTGCCGGACATCATGGCCTCGGGTTTACAGAAGCCCAGGTCAGTGATCTTCGCCCGGTTCTGTTTGTCCAGCTACACAGAAGAACACAAACCCACATTATAGTGCGTGATGAAGGGATATGAAGTGTTATGAAGGTTTATGAAGCACTATGAAGCATTATGAAGGGCTATAAAGCATTATGAAGAACTATGAAGTGTTATGAAGGGCTATAAAGCATTATGAAGCATTACAAAGTGCTATGAAGGGTTATGAAGGGCTATAAAGCATTATGAAGCATTACAAAGTGCTATAAAGCGTTATGAAAGGCTATAAAGCATTATGAAGCACTATGAAGGGTTATGAAGAACTATAAAGCACTATGAAGGGTTATGGAGGACTATAAAGCATTATGAAGCATTACAAAGTGCTATGAAGCGTTATGAAGGGCTATAAAGCATTATGAAGCACTATGAAGGGTTATGAAGAGCTATAAAGCATATTGAAGCACTATGAAGCGTTATGAAGGGCTATAAAGCATTATGAAGCACTATGAAGGGTTACGAAAGGGCTATAAAGCATTATGAAGCACTATGAAGCGTTATGAAGGGCAATAAAGCATTATGAAGCGCTATGAAGGTTTATGAAGAGCTATAAAGCATTATGAAACATTACAAAGGGCTATAAAGCACTATGAAGGGCTATAAAGTATTATGAAGCACTCTGAAGCGTTATGAAGGGCTATAAAGCATTATGAAGGGCTATAAAGCATTATGAAGCGCTATGAATGGTTATGAAGGGCTATAAAGCATTATGAAGAACTATGAAGTGTTATGAAGGGCTATAAAGCATTATGAAGCATTACAATGTGCTATGAAGCATTATGAAGGGCTATAAAGCATTATGAAGCACTATGAAGAGCTATAAAGGGTTGTGAAGCGCTATGATGCGTCATGAAGTGTTATGATACATTATGAACCAATATGATGCGTTATGAAGTGTTTGATGCGTTATGATGTGTAATGAAGCACTATGATGCGTTATGAAGTGTTATGATGCGTTATGAAGCACTATGATGTGTTATGATGCGTTATGAAGCACTATGATGTGTTATGATGTGTAATGAAGCACTATGATGCGTTATGAAGTGTTATGATGCGTTATGAAGCACTATGATGTGTTATGATGTGTTATGAAGCACTATGTGTTATGATGCGTTATGAAGCACTATGATGCATTATGATGTGTAATGAAGCACTATGATGCGTTATGAAGTGTTATGATGCATTGTGAAGCACTATGATGTGTTACGAAGTGTTATGATGAGTTATGAAGTGTTATGATGTGCTCTCGTCACAGAGAATCAGATGGTGGACACAGTTCCTCACCAGAACGTTCTTCAGCTTGATGTCACGATGCAGCAAACCCTGACTGTGCAGGAACCGAATCCCCTCCACCACGTCCAGAGCGATCTGAAGACGCTCCTTCAGAGACAGACTGGCCTGAGAGAGACAGACACGTCAATCACAACCACAGACAGACAGACAAACGGACAGCCGTTGTTGTGATGGTACCTTCAGTCCCGCGTAGAGATCTCGGTGTAATCGCTCCATAATCAGCAAAACCGCAATACTGGAGCCGCCACTGTACGAGTGGTCGATAACCGACCCGTGGAGATTCACTAAACGTTCGTGTTTAGGCAGAGACCTGATGGACACAGAGAACTTTAATGATTAAACAATAATAAAAACAAATACTACTGCTATTTGTATTGAGTAAAAAATAAAAAAGTTCTTATTATTAATTACTAAAAATACAATTAATAATAATAGAAATAAAAACAGTAAAATTACAACTAATAGCAATTATAATAAAAATGATAAGCACTATCATTATTATTATTTAAATAATTAATTAAATAATACAATAAAAAATACTGAATGAACTATTATTATTTTCTTTCAATAAAAAGTCATAAATAAAAATAATAATTACATTTTAGTATTATTATTGTCATCATTTTTAAACAATAAATGTAATTAGAAACACTGCACTGGAGTGGTGTTACCGTGTGTAGTGGAACTCCAGCGCGAGGTCGTTCCAGTGCTTGTCGTCAGGAGGAACGACTGACTTCTTGTCATCAGGAGGAACGACTGACTTTAGGGCACACGGGTGACGTCCACCCCAGCTATCACACAGATACACCACACCGTACTGACCACGGCCCAGCTCACGGCCCATCTTCGGCTTTCCTGAGGACAAACACACACAAACACGGACTCAGACTGACATCACACACGCGCACACACACACACCATGTGATCCGTGTGTGTGTGTCTCACCGTGCAGCAGAATGTCTCGCAGTGATCGGCTGTCATGCACATACTGTATGTTGATTGTTGACAGAGGATGAGGAAATTATTTGTGAAATTTGACACCAATCTGTCTTTGTATGAGGCAAAGGATATGAAAAAATGGCCTGAGTGGCGCTTCAGACGCTGTGTGATTTCAATTCACTTTCATATTTTTTGTCATAGTTCTTTCCTGACCTGAAAAATCATTGCTGACCGATGTACCATTGATGAAAATTGATAAATGTGCCTCTTCTCTTCATTGGGAATGTTTGAAATGTCTTAAGAACTCTCATAATTGTTCTGAACAGACAACCATGATAACAAAAACAAACAGTGTTGTGTGCTAGCGATCAGAGGTAAAAAAGGATGCAGTCTTTCAGTAATACATCCTGATGCGGGAGGCATCTGTCACCAGGGATAGGGGCCCATTTACTTTGCTCCAAAATTACCATCAATACTGACTAAAATTTTCATGATCAGTTAGTATAATGCCAATTTGGTACTTGTTCTGGTTGCCTTGGCTTTTGGCTTGCTTAGTTGCTTAGTTTGGCTTGCTAATCTGCCTTAAGGTGGACGAGGATGTAATTTTCTTCTAGAAAGAAACTTTGTTGTATTATTTTCATGTTATCACTGTGAAGCTGCTTTGATACAATCTGTATTGTAAAAAGTGCTATATAAATAAAGGTGACTTGACTTGACTGTCACTACATGCAACTTTCCGCTATCTCACTTTTCCCATCAAATACAGCACAAAGTCATGACACATTAATTATTCAGTGCAGTCAATGATTGACAGACAAATCATAAAATGTAACAATAGTGAATTTAATTATTGACAAATATATACAAAACAAATAGTACAACAGTATTGGTCATCAGGCGAATTTGCTAGCCGGCTCCCAGGTGTCCTCCCAGACTCTGCCACTGTAAATAGTCCACAAGTCATCTTACACACAGCATATACAGTACAGCCTACAGCTCACAACTAGTCTTCTGGCTCAAGTTTGAAGATATGTCATCTGAAGCCGAAAAAATAAAGGTTTACCCTTTTTCTGTTGGATAATTTCTTTTGGTTTATTTTATATGGCGTTTGTCAAGCAACAGTCATTTTGTTCCAAGTGAAAACTACTGGACTCAGTCGCTTGGACACAGTCATCCCTACAGTCAACCCTTTGAAGTTCTGCATCGGGTTAACCGTGTCGCTATGCAAATACTCACCACAACGGGATGGGCACAGAAATGATGTGGTTAAAGGCCTCTATGTCGGCCGCAGAGGGGGTCAGCAAAGACGCAATGGCACAACAAAGGCATCTGCGTCGCATCTACATGTAACTATGAATTGGGCTTAAGACCCCATAAGAGCTGAAGTGGACTAGAAAGTGATCTGCATCATCTTTAAGTGAACTCATAATGTGAACACAAAGAGACAAGAGTTGTTTTTGGTTCAGTCCACCTCACAGGCCATTTTAATTGGACTACATTTGGTTCATAATGGGAGGTTTCACTTTGTAAAAATAACTGCTGTTTGGCAAACACCGTATAAAATAACCCAAATAAACAAAATAGAATTAGCAAATGTATAGGGCAAACAGGTTAGAATGTATTTGCTTCAGATGTCAGATGACCAAACTTGAGCCAGATGACTACTTGAAGGCTGGTGTGCACATGTTCTCATGTGGTCTCAGTTCAGTTCACTTTAAAAGGGATCCGAGTATGCTTAGATAGTTCCTTGTGCTCAAAACAATTATCAGTCCCACTTTCACTTTCACTTCAAAGTTCACTTTGAAGGCTGAAAGGGACCAGGTTTTAAAACACTAAGGCTGTGTGTAGCTATGGATTCAATTACATCAGCCATCACTTACCAGGAAGAGCAAGGTAGCCAGCGCACTTTGACCTCTGCTGCCCCAGCTGCACCAGCTGCACACACACACACACAGACAGAGACACACACACACACACACAGACAGAGACACAACACACACACCCACAGTGACACACACACACACACACACACACACACACACACGCATCGGTACAGGACTTTCATCACGATAACAACACCAATGATTCTCAATAGAACAGACAAAACTAATATACTACTGAAAAACATAATAAAAAAGAAATGCAAAAATTCCAGTAAAATATTAAAATACAATTTAACATGAACTGAATATTAATTATAATGGAGATATTAAATATGACTTATTTATTATAATGAAAAAAAAAAAAAAACATACATAATTAAATACAGATAAATAATAAAATACCTAATATAATAAATAATAAAATTACTACGTAGTATGAATTAATGTAATGTAAAATATAATATTTTAAAATATAACATTTCCTAATAACAACATATATTACATATGAATTAAATATATATAATAAAATAATGAAATAAGAAAAATTATTTATTATGAATACATGTAATAAAATATAACAAAATAGATGTATAAATTACATATTAAAACTCATTAAACATACTGGAGAAATTAAATATGAAAAAAAAACATACATACATATACCCACACACACACACACATATATATACATATATTTGTGTGTCTGTGTGTGTATATACATATATATATATATGTGTGTGTGGAATAATGGAAATAATGTAATATACAAAATATTAATATAAAATGTAAACAATAAAATATATTAAATATTAACATTAAAATATAAAGACGTTACATTTTAAATATTAAAATATTATTAAAATATTATTACAATTTTAATATTAAAGTAAACAAACTTTAATGAACTCTAAACATGAATTAAATAATAAAAACTACAACTAATAAAAATAATAAGTCCTATTTTTATTACAATTAAATCATATTTTATTTATTTATTACAAAAATCTGAGTGAAAACAGTGGCTTGTGGCCTTCAAGTATTTAAACACCATGAACACTTTCAGAGCTTTAAGTCCTTTGTTTGGATTAAAATAAAGTCAAATAAAGAACAAATCTGACCCTGAACCACAAAACCAGGCATAAGGGTCAATTTTTCAAAATTGAGATTTATGCATCATCTGAAAGCTGAATAAATAAGCTTTCCATTGATGTATGGTTTGTTAGGATAGGACAATATTTGAAAATCTGGAATCTGAGGGTGCAAAAAAATCTAAATATTGAGAAAATCATCTTTAAAGTTGTTCAAATGAAGTTCTTAGCAATGCATATTACTAATTACTAAAAATTAAGTTTTGATATATTTACGGTAGGAGATTTACAAAATATCTTCATGGAACATGATCTTTACTTAATATCCTAATGATTTTTGGCATAAAAGAGAAATGTATAATTTTGACCCATACAATGTATTGTTGGCTATTGCTACAAATATACCCCAGCGACTTAACACTGCTTTTGTGCTCCAGGGACACATATGAGAAAGAATGAACTCCAGGAGAGTGAAGCGAGCACTAAAGCGGTGAGAGTGTGAAGGCACTGACCTGTCGGAGCGAGGCGGCGAAGGCCTCGTGGGAGCTGTTGAGTCTGGTCCTGAACTGAGAGCAGATGCTCTTGGCGTACTTCCCCTCACACACACACACACACACACACACACACACACAGAGAGAGTCACGTTTGACCACAGCAGATCCACACACACAAACACGCTAGTAAAGGGGAAGTTAACATGCTGTAAACTGCTCTTCGTGTCTGTCTCTTTAAATGCAAATGAGCTCCTGCCTCGGTTACTATGGCAACAACAAACAAACAATGAACTAAACTCTTATTTTGCCCATTAAAGCATGAACAATGTAAACAAAAACCTTCATGAAATCTACATGACTTCTGTGCTAACTGAAAAATAATTAAACATAAAAACAGAAGCTAAATCAATAACATAATAGCAATCATTTAAGACTTTTTCTAATGAAAATGATTTAAAAAAATCTGTAAAACGAATAAAAAACAAAAGCTAAATTAGCAATGAAATCCAGAAAGCAACCTGAATGAACCGAGCTGTGAGGTTGACCTCTGACCTGTGAAGTGCAGGTTGGCGGCGTCCTCCAGCAGCTGCTCCTTCATGCAGCTCAGCGTCTCCACGATCATGTCCTTCATCTCCTCCTGCTTGCGGTTGGCGATGGCCATCAGAGAGCTGAAGAGCTCGCCCTCCTTCTCTCGAGTGTACTCCAGCCGCCGCGGCGTGATCTGAAGATCCCTCTGCATGTCGAACGCCTGACATACAAACACTCGCTAACATTACTCAACATTTCTAGATTGTAGCTTATTAAAAACACGTTAGTTACTTGATAATCAAGCTAGCAAAATGTTAGTAACATGTTAATCATGCTAGAAACATGCTAACAACAGGCTAGTCACTTGCTAGTCATGCTAATAACATGCTAGTCACTTGCTAATCATGCTAACAACATGCTAGTCACTTGCTAATCATGCCAACAACATGTGAATCATGCTAATAAAATGCTAGCAACATGTTAGTAACATGCTAATCATGCTAGAAACATGCTAACGTCATGCTAGTAACTTGCTAATCATGCTAGTGAAATGCTAGCAAACATTCTAGTAACATGCTAATCATACTAGAAACAGGCTAGTCACTTGCTAACCATGCTAACAACATGCGAATCATGTTAGCAACATGCTAGTAACATGTTAATCATGCTAGAAACATGCTAGTCACTTGCTAATCATGCTAACAACATGCGAATCATGCTAGTAAAATGCTATTCATGCTAGAAACATGCTAATCATGCTAACAAAATGCTAGCAACATGCTAACAAAATGCTAGTGACTTGCTAATCATGCTAGCGACAGGCTATTAACTTGTTAATCATGTTAACAACATGCTATCAACATGCTAGTAACATGCTAATCATGCTAGAAACAGGCTAGTTACTTGCTAATCATGTTAACGACGTTAGTCAATTGCTAATCATGCAAACAACATGTTAGTAACATGTTAATCATGCTAGAAAAATGCTATTCATGCTAGAAACATGCTAGTTACTTGCTAATCATGCTAACAAAATGCTAGCAACATGCTAACAAAATGCTAGTAACTTGCTAATCATGCTAGCGACAGGCTATTAACTTGCTAATCATGTTAACGACATGCTATCAACATGCTAGTAACATGCTAATCATGCTAGAAACAGGGTAGTCACTTGCTAATCATGCTAACAACATGTTAGTCACTTGCTAATCATGCAAACAACATGTTAGTAACATGTTAATCATGCTAGAAAATGCTAACAACATGCTAGTCACTTGCTAGTCATGCTAATAACATGCTAGTCACTTTGCTAATCATGCTAACAGCATGCTAGTTACTTGTTAATCATGCTAGCAACATGCTATTAACATGCTAATCATGCCAGCAATATGATAGTAACAGGCTAATCATGTTAAAAACATGCTAATCATGATAGAAACATGTCATCAACATCTATCTAATCTACCTAAATTTTCAAACTTCAGGCTTTTACAGCTGCTTTAAACTTTCAGGCTAGGCTTTCTCAAGCCAACCTAAAGTTTGTCTTAAACTTTTTTATCTAGTTCATCTTAAAATCAGATGCAGCTCTTGATCTTAATAATGCTTTAGAAAGGACAATGAATATTGAATATAAAAATGACTAATGATTTAAACCTTAATTGTTTTTCAAATAAAAAACCTAAAACTTGTAATATGTGAGCCTGGAGCACAAAAGCAGTGTTAAGTCGCTGGGGTATGCTCATGTTAACTAATAAAGCTTATTGTAAAGTGTTACCAATTAGTTAAAATACTAAAATTGAAATAAAATAAAAAAAATAAAGCTAAATAGAAAACTAATAAGCTGAGAGTAAAAGTTAATTTATAATATTAATAAAAACTATAATAGTATATATATATATATATATATATATATCAAAATATCAATTGGTTTGGTGCTCCAGGGTCACAAATGTTGGAATTAACTAACATGATTAAATCCTGTGAAATACTGCTCATGTTAACTAATGAAACCTCATTGTAAAATATTAGCAGAATGATGAACATGCAGCACTAGTTTAAACACAACTAAAACAGGAAAGAAAAAGGCTTTAACAAAAATAAAATAAAATATAGAAAATACATTTTATTTCAGATAGTTGCTGCTTATTTTATTTCTATATTTATCTTCAATGTATCATTTCAGTTTAGTTTGTTTTTTTTGGTTTTAGTTTAGTTTTTCATTAGAAAAGCAAATTTAAATTTTAAATCACTGGTTTTTATTACTTATTTTATCACTAATTTTATCGTCTTTTCTAAAACATTTTTTAAATCAAAAGCTGCAACACGATGAAATTTAACCCTTTGTTTCTTCTTATATGTGATATATCCCTGATGTATTTTATGCGAGACAAAACATTTATCAAAATATTTCCAAATCCAGTAGCAACTACATTAGTGCTCAAATGTTTCTGAAAGAAGTCTCTTCTGCTCACCAAGGCTGTGTTTATTTGATCAAAAATACTGTAAAAATTGTGAAATATTATTCTAATGTAAAACAGCTGTGTTCTGTGTGAATACCTGTTAAACTGTAATGTATTTCTGTGATGCGCAGCTGTATTTTCAGCATCATTACTCCAGTCTTCAGTGTCACATGATCTTCAGAAATCATTCTAATATGCTGATTTGCACATTTCTGATTGTTATCAATGTTGAAAACATAAATATTTAGATGCATTTTATTTCTCAGGATTCACAGCGCTGACAAGAAACATAAGTCTAGTGTGTGAAGCAGGAA